GATTTAATTATCAATATTTAAATAATTTTTTTGTGTGATATTGATAAAAATAAAATAAGATAAAACATAACTAACTGATTTTTATTGGATTTAAATTCATGCAGAGGAAAAATACCCATTGTGTTTTAAAATCCGTTAAACAGTCATGTTTTTTTCCCTCTCTTATTAATGTTAAAATGGACTTAATATTACTAGGTAGGTAGGTACCTACAAAAACAAAAATCTAATAAAAAAATTAATGTAATTTTTAATATTTATTGTATGAAATGCACGTTTTCGTTAAATCTCCGAAGAGAATACCAAATTATAGTAAAATATTACAATTCCTATAGTGGAGTTACATGAGTGAATTTGGGTGCATTTTTCATGCCTTCACTGATGACAAATTTATTAGAATTTAGGCATGTATTTAAAACGCATTATAAATAGAATACGTACAAAAGAAATCATGAAAATATCCCTTCTTCTTTAACAACTTCAAATTTTTTTTGCTGGGTTTTTAATTTTAATTTTATTTCAAAAAACATGCAGTGATTTTAAATGGAATTTTAAGGGATATGCATGTTTATATACTTATATTAAGCTGGATGCTATTGGTAAATATTACAGAGGACTTGGCAAAAGCAAGATTTTGGAATAACCTGATTTGTGCCACTAAATTTGTATCTTTAGCTACAAAAGTTTGGCAAACGAAAGTGGGCCAGGCAACGGGTGCAATACTAAAGATTGTTGATATCTGAATTGGCCTGATTTGTGCCAATAAAGTTGTGTTGTGGCTACCAAAGTGTGGCTAAAGACAACAGAACGTGCGCAATACGGGGGATAGTTGATATCTGGAATGACCTGATTTGTGCCATTAACGTTCTATTCTAAACGGATGAAGTTTGGCTAAAGACAGCGGACCTCACAAAGGGCGCAATGCGGAAGATGGTTGAAATGTATTTTTTGTACAAACAATATTATTATTTTACAAACTAAACATTTAAAATTTTTTATTATTAAAATTTTATTTCGTTTCAAATAAACAAAAACATATTTTGACAGAGAAGGTATACAAATAAGAAAAAAAATTATCAGCTGTTCGATTGCATATACCTGTTTAGTGTACACTGTTACCACCTAAAAAAAGGGACTTTTTATACTTTTTCCATTGTCAACTGGTATTTCTTCAATTTTAGAAAAATGAAATTAACCACACAGAGTCCTGAATAAATGAGAATCTATCAATGGGCACTTTTTCTTTATTCAACTGGTGCCTTTTGAGTTCCCTTTAATATTAAACCTAGAAACCGAGTGAATGGAAATCTATAATATTGAATACTGAGAAAATGAAAATTAAAAAAGCTAATTTTTTGTTTTCCAAGTGGTAATCTTTGAGTATTCTATCCCAGCAAAAAAAGACGTGCAAAAAAGTAGTAAATGCATCGGTTAAACTGATAATAAACTGGTTCATTTTTAGGTGAAACATGCATGATTATAACCAAGGCGAATTCAGATAAGGTGGTGTTATTCAATCAGCTGATAATTGTTTTCTTAATTCGCCTGGTTTACGTAGCTGTCAAAGTTTGTTATTGTTTACATTTTTATATTTAAAAATGTCCGTTAAACAAAGAAAAACTTCGTTAATATTTTGAATTATTTATGTAAAAAATCTAAAAATACCAAGCATCTCGTAAACAAATATCATTTTATGTAAATAATGGCATAATTGGTATGTACCTATACAAATATGTTATTTAGGAAAAATATTTTTTTATCCATTCGCAACAAATATTCATTCATTCGTAATATAATATTTTCATGAATATGTACTTTTTTATGTTTATTTTTCACAAAAAATTAAGTTTTACCTTACTTCAGGCAATTACTTAAATTTTGCAAATTAATTTGCCGGAATAGAATTTTTCGTTTGAAACAACCATTATTCAATTCAGAATATATTTTCTTCACAAATTTTAATATCTTTATCCTTATTTTTAATAAAATATAAACATTTTACAAACATTTTTCATGAAATGAATTCGCCGTACTTATGGTTTTTGACATCTACGTAAACCAAATGCAAAAACAAAATACATGTAAAATGTTGTTGCAGAACTGCCACCACCTTATCTGAATTCGCATTGGGTTCGCATTTGGAAAAATAGTTCGTCATTAAAATGAATGCTAACAACCAATGAACATTCGGTGATTCTGATTTTCATTGGTGCACTATATTTATTTTAAAATGCATTATTAAAGGAAATATGGTGAATTTATTATTAATATTTAAATAATTTTTTTTAGCGTGATATTGATAAAAATTATATATGATCCCAAAATAAAACATTAATAACTGATTTTGAATGGTATTAAATTTGAACCTAAAAAGAAACATATCGAAAACTAACGAAAAATTCAAAATCGATTTTATTGTTGATTATAATGTAATGCATCAAAACAAATGTCCACAAAAAAATGGGCTCCTCCGACCAAAATTAGCGATTTTATTGACAAAAAACAAAAGGCCCTATCTACAAAAACATTTAAATATTAAAGGTAAAATGTCCAATTTATCCATTTCTATATACGCCATTGTCAACTATCATAACAACTGATAAGTTTCACTATTAAACCATTTGTTTATTTATTACAAATAAATCGCGGTGATAGAAACAAACTTTTCAATTTCAATAGTTTTTTGCTTCTCCTGTAAAATTTTAAAAATGTTAGAGTGCCGTTTGCGTTTTAGGTGACGATATAATGACCTCATCTATATATACAAAAATTAATGTGTGTTTATTTAGTCTTTATAGAAACGGCTGAACCGATCTTCCTGAAAATTTCACAGTGTTTTCCAGTATGTTTGGAAGGAACTATAGGCTACTTTTTATTTCAAAATTTCAAGTGGGCGAGGTGCCTTGACCACATACCATATAAGTATGCGTATCTTAGAAAGTACAACAGTTAGAGTCCTCAAATTTTGTATAGATTACTTTGACGTCCACATAAACATGTGGGTACAAAATGGGTGGCCTTGCTGTAGTGGGAGTGGCACCTCCCAAATAAAGAAACTATTAAATTAGTATATCAGAGAAGAAATATGAATTTAATAAAAATGCGTATATTTAAGAAACTGTTATAGCTATAATCTTCAAATTTGGCACGAAAAACTTTGACATCGATGTGAATATTTATATTATAATTTAGCGGAATAGGAAAAAGGGGGAGATTAACCTCCCATATGAATAAAATACATAATTTCGTTTATTTAGGAAACTATGAGCTAGAATCTTCAAATTTAGCATCAGGAACTCTATTGTCCATGTGAACATTTGGGAGAAAAATGGGAGGATTTACAAATCCTCAAATTTTGCACGAAAACACTAACATCAATATGAACATTTGTGTAGTAATTTAGCGGACTAGGAATACTGGATAATATGAACTCCTGGATAATACGAACACCCAAAACTTTACATTAGTGACTCTAAAGAGTGAACAACGCAAGCCTCTATAAAGTGAACTTGAAGTTTTTTTTGTCAAAAAACTAACAAAAACAAGATTTTTTATAAGCCCCACAGAAAATTTTCAGAGTACTCGAAATTGCAACCAATGTTGTGTGCTTTACTTTGTATTACTTATAATTTGATTTACTTGTATATAAAATCTGGATGTGAAGTTTAAATTTTTAATAAAATTTTGTGTGTTACATCTTAATATACTTGTAATTACAATGTTAATATGAGAACAGAAAATTAAAATAAAAAATCAAGTGTGTTAGATGAATTTTAAGCAAAATTTGTTGCTTAAAATCAGGATCACGATCAGGATAATTGGTATGGCCTTATACTTATGAATGAATTTGTAGATACATGTATTGGCTAGCATTTTTTAAAAAATAGACATATTTAGATACTTCTTAATGCACATGTAAACTAGAACTGAACTAGAACTGGACTAGAACTGAACGAAACGGGTACGAAAACGGAACGAGAACGGAAGGAGAAGGAACGAGAACGGGACGAGAACGGGACGAGAACGGAAAGAGAACGGGACGAGAACGGAAGAGAACGGACCGAGAACGGAACGAGAAGGGAACGAGAACGGAACGAGAACGGAACGAGAACGGAAAGAGAACGGAACGAGAACGGACCGAAAGCGGAGCGGAGAGAGCGAGCGAGCGAGCGAGCGAGCGAGCGAGAGCGAGCGAGCGAGCGAGCGAGCGAGCGAGCGAGCGAGCGAGCGAGCGAGCGAGCGAGCGAGCGAGAGCGAGCGAGCGAGCGAGCGAGCGAGCGAGCGAGCGAGGAGCGAGCGAGCGAGCGAGCGAGCGAGCGAGCGAGCGAGCAGCGAGCGAGCGAGCGAGCGAGCGAGCAGCAGCGAGCGAGCGAGCGAGCGAGCGAGCGAGCGAGCTAGCGAGCGAGCGAGCGAGCGAGCGAGCGAGCGAGAGCGAGCGAGCGAGAGCTAGCGAGCTATCGATCTATCGAGCGATGAGCGATCTATCGAGCTATCGAGCTAGCGATCTAGCAGCTAGCTAGCTATCGATCTATCTATATAGCTATCTATCTATCTATCATCTATCTATCTATCTATCATCTATCTATCTATCTATCTATCTATCCTATCTTCACAGTGTCTTTCTGTATATCTGGAAGGAACTATAGGCATTATTTACTTTTTTAGCATGGAACCGGCAGGAAAAGAAAAAGGAATACAAACCGAACATTTTCAGGTCGATTCCGAAACTCAAACCGAGTAAGAAAATCTTTTTTTAATCAGTGCCAGTCTGTTATATAAATCCCTTCTTCATCTTTCAATAGAATGGACTACTTCCAAAATTTCAACTTTCTCAAGCAAACACTGCTATTGAAGAGATTAGAAAGATTTTACAGATGGACAAGAAAAATGATGGCTCCAGGAAGAATCCAGTGGAAATGGGCAGACATATCTAACGCGATATGTCTGCATGCTGCAGGACATAGGGCATACAACCACTTATATAAACAAAGTTTTCCGTTACCTCATAGACCGACCCTACAACGGTGAGTGGATCCTTTCAGCTTCCATCGATTTTATGCAACACACGAACAATTTGATTCTTAAAGTTAAGATAAGTTTGAATATTAAGATCGGTTTGCGATTAACAAAAAAGGTAGAATAATTACTTATAGATTTAAGATTTTGTTTTAATATTAAGTCTCAAATAGGACTTAAAATTAGTAATAATTAGTTTTTTATGTTAGTTAATAACTGTATTTTTTTTTCGATAAGTTAGAAAGATTCGTCAACAACAAAACAAATAAATTAAATCTTTGCTTAAATTTTAATAAATTATTTCCCAATCATTTTAGGAAAACCTTGGTTTCCCAGCCCAACTGTGCAGACGAAAAAGTGTTCAGTCTGGCCGATGCTCCGCACCTCTTAAAATTAATCCGGAACCATTACCTGGACAGTGGCTTAGTTGTGGGAGACGAACATTTAACCTCCCGAACTTTTACAGATTTACTTAGCCTGAGATCAACATCTGATATGTCAATAACTTATAAAATTAGCCATGAACATCTGGCAAGGAAAGGTGCAGGTAAGTGTATAACAAAAACGATTCATACTGAATAATACTATTTTTAAAAAATTTCAGGTTGACAAAAGGTGAAATTAGCAACACAGCTTTTTTCGCACACAACAGCGAATGCTATCAGAAGATGCTACGCACTTGGACTAGAATTATACAAGCCAACCCAGACGGCCAAGAGGTGAACGATTGGTTTGACATACTAAAATCCAGAAAAAGTACATTTAAATACCCTGGCAAGGTAAGTTAAAATACACGTTTATCATAATGTGAATGTGATATTTTTATTTGTAATCATTTGGATTTCATTTGTAATTCAATTGGATTTCAAATATAGAATGCTGAAGTATATCCTGGGTAAGTTTATGCAAATACTTTTCTTTTTTGTTACCAATTATTTTATTTATTTTAAGCAAGAAACACCAGACACCTAAATGGGACAGGTAATGTTGAAGCGGATGATACCAATTGGCTGGATTCTTCCATGGAGTTAAAACCTTCAAAAGTGGTTGAAGAGATTCCTGCAGCACCGGAAGATATTTTTGAAGAGCTACCTGTAGACCCGGAAGAAGAAGTAGACCTTGACTATTTCGATGAATCGATTCTTAATGACATTGGTATTCTTCAAGAAGACGCATTAGAATACGTAAGTCAACGGAAATGAAATCTCCCACCAACCAAGACTAAATCAGCATCTTCTTCAACAAAGGGTTTAACCAGAACCCTTCCAGACAATGTAAAAAGATTATTCTTCAAATGCCGAATACATTTTCGCGTGAGAAATCTGAAAAAAAGATTAAATATTCAAAAGAAAAGCAGCGCAAAGTGGGGTCCAAAAAATTTCTTAAAATTAAATTATAAGAATTTATCTTTTTGAATAAGTATAGATCTATTAAAGCAATTTTAATTCAAATTATTAATTTTTTATTTTTCTACAGATTTCGAACTATCATATTGCAGCACATTTTAACACGACACTGCAGTTAACGCATATTTTAAAGGTAAAAAAGAGTTATTTAAACCCAATTGTATGTTTTCCCCTTATTTATACTAAGTTCTGTTTCAGCTTTGTTTTAAACTTTTGGAGTTTTGCTAGAACACTCCCGGAAACTTGAGGACGATCACTCAGATTGACACTACACCAAACTAGAGGCAAATAAATGAAAAAGGAGAGTATTTTCAAGATATAAATATATGTAACTTTTAAATTAAACCATATATTTTGTTTTCTGTCTTTATGCTAATTACAGTCCACAATTGGAGTTGACTTGTCCTCGACATCCTAAAACAAAAAAGGAGAGTATTTTTTCATTCACTTTTTTGGGTTTCTAAACCTAATTTGTATTTGTTTTTATTATATTTCAAATTTTCTAACTTGTCGACCTACATACATACATACATACATACATACATACGTACATACATACATACATACATACATACATACAGACAGACAGACATACATACATACATACAGACATACATACATACATACATACATACATACATACATACATACATACATACATACATACATACATACATACATACATACATACATACATACATACATACATACATACATACATACATACATACATACATACATACATACATACATACATACATACATACATACATACATACATACATACATACATATGGGAATGGCGAATGTATTTACATCAATCAACAAACGAGAGTCAAAACCAAATTGCTGTTAAGTATTTAAAATATTTTATAAATTCATTATATATATAGTTTTTAATTACAAAATTTTTATGAATAGCTATTTTTTTTAAAATAACAAAATGTAAATGTTTAAATTAAACAAAACTTTTAGTAAAATTAAAATAGAATGTAAATTTTTTAGTTTTTAATTAGTTAACTCTAAAGAATTATTAAATTAATCATAACTTTTTATTCAATTAAAATCAAATGTATATATTAAAATATTAGTTTTTAATTATATTACAATTTAAAATATTTAAATTAAAATTGTATAAAATTTTAAATAAGTGCTTATTAATTGATACGTTTATAAAACAACAAAATGTATAGATCAAATTAATCAAAACTTTTTATAAAATTAAAAAAAAAAAAAATATTTAAATTAATTATAACTTTTTATTCAATTAAAATCAAATGTATTTTTTAAAAATATTATTTTTTAATTATATTACAATTTAAAATGTTTAAATTAAAAATTATATAAAATTTTAAATAAGTGCTTATTAATTGATACGTTTATAAAATAACAAAATGTAATACATTTAATGTATAGGTCAAATTAATCAAAACTTTTTATAAAATTAAAAAAATATTTATTATTTTTATTTTTCAAAAATATAACAATTTACAAAGTTTAAATAAAATTGTCTATTAAATTTAAATCAAATGTATAATTTCTAATTTTTAAATAATATAACAATTTAATTTTTTAAATAAAATTAAATTTTGTATCAAATTATAATCGAATGCATATTTTTTTGTAATTTTAAATGTTTAAATTTTTCTGTTCTAAAATACTTTACCCTGCGAGAGCAAATTACCATCATTTACTGCAAGACTGCGATAAAAATGGTTTTGAATGTTTAATGGCAATTTACTACTTTTTTTAAATAACTTTTAAAGTCAAGGGATTTGAAAAATTAAACCAGATGCAGATAGTAGAGGTTAATATCTTTCTCATCTCAATTGAAAGTATTCATCTAATATTCGTGAAAACAATGATTTTTAGTTTTTACATTTACAATAAAAATCTATGCCAGTCTTGTAGTAAATGATCGAAATGATAGACAAATTTAAACAGAATTATTAGGAAGAAAACAATTGATTAGTCCATTAAACAGTCTTGACAATTTTTTATGGATCTAACTCATCAAAATTCGAAAGTTTAACTTTTTAATTAGAAATAATTTTTTTCTAATTACAAATAATTTTTTTAGTAAATTAACTAGTAACCATCCAAATGAAGAACAAATTTCATCAAAATCGGAAGTCATCGATTTTTAAAGTTGGGTCACTTAACAAGAAATGATCCATGTGTATATATGTATATGAAATTGTTCGACAGAGATATTTAAATCTAATAAAATTGACAATATAACTAATGTGACTATAAAAGTGATGACTATAAACAAAACTACTGTATTTTGATATGAAATGCTCATAGATAACTTTATTTCCAAATGCATTTAATACTTTTACCAATTTTGTGGTCACCAAAAACATCATCGGCTTAAAATATCTCCAAACAATTTGTAGTTCATCAGTACCTTCTTAATTTTTCCAGATATCTATTCAAAAAGTGGGTAGGTATATTTGCTTATTTTCCTTTACAATCATTAAAACTAATATTGATGAGATCCGTACCTAATATTAGCTGATATGGGGCGATTAATTTGTTAGCTCGATAAACGCTAGTAGTGGGGTACATACATACATTTCGCGCCTTTCCTTGTGGTTATGTTAGACAGTTACATTTACTCGTCCTTGGTGGACCTCTAAATCAAGATCATTAGTTTCGCTTTTCAGTGGTAACTATTGCCATTAAGAAGACGTCAGCCTCATACTTCATGGATAGCCAAACTGAGTTAAAGGTTGCGGTAAGGTATTATGGTCCTACATAAAGCGACGACATCAATCATCACTGTGAACGACTGTGCCGGTTATAGCTAAGCAACAACTTTAAGTTTGAGCTCAACGGGCATTACAATGAATCTAGAACATTGGTGTATAGCATGTATTCCATTACAAAAGGGAATTGGGAAACTTTATTATCGGTGGCATAACCACAGGTGGTACCACCATTTGTGGCACTAACATTTGTGGTGTGATCAACTGATTTGCCGTGGCATATACTGTGGCTGTAGTCTTTGGGGTTCCATTAATTGTGGCAACACCATTTGCGTTGCAAACGTTCGGTAAATAAGCTGCGGTTGTGAATTATATTAATGTGTCTAAAAAATATGTAAAATATTAATCAATTTTTATTTAAAACATATTTTTTTTCAAAAACTATGTAAGTACACCTGTTGAGAGGGCCACATATTTACATTTAAACGAAATCCATACGATTTATATATATACTATATATTTACCTAGACGTATGTTTTCACGTTTGTTACAAGTACACAAAGGCACTTTTATCTAAAAATTCCTTTTCTATAGCTACTATGGGAAATCGATTATAGAATCCATTGGCAAAACATTTTTCGTTGACAACATTGTTAATATAATGGAGTTCCCGTTTTTGGAAACTAGAAAATTTTCGGGACGCAATCGAAACGGAATTTCCTGATCTTCTACTGATTTTACCAAAGAAATGCACGAGATGATCCTGTCTAAAACTACGCGTTTTAATGCATTTAAAAAAATAAATGCATCAATAAATTTAAATGTACCTGTTTTATCTGATTTGTTCTCATCGTATATTTTAATCGATTGTTCATTAAAACAATCGAATCTTTACTATCTGCTACAATATTGAATTTGTCAAATAAAACAAAAAATATTAACAATTCAGTCCTGTTCAGGAAGGTTTCTGCTTTTGAACGATCTATTTTCCCTGATTTGTATAGAGTGTCCGTTCCGGTAGAAAACGGTATTACATAAAACTTAAGTAGCAAAGTTAACGCGCTTGCGTTGAAAATTATTTTGGCTTTGGAGTACTCGAAGTTTATTTGACGAATCTACTTTTTAGAAATTAGCATTATTCATCATAATACGCATTTATTATTAAAATAAATGCAGTTTCGGTCATTTAATAGACAGTTGTGGGTGAGTTTTATAAGATGTTTAGTAAAAAGTACTATAATAAATAACATTTAGTAAAACATATGGGGCCATAATCATAGTCATCAAAAAAGTATACTTTAAGTATCATTTATTAAAATATATACTTTTCAGCTACTATAGACGAGAAAAAGCTTACTTTTTCGGCTAAAGTCCGTATATACTTAAAACAAGCTGAAGTTGTTTTAACAAAGTTAACATCACTTTAACTCTATCAGCTGTTTGTCACATATCAAAGTTTTTTTTTTATAAATTATGGAAAAAGTGTTGCAAAATAATTGAAGAGATGTGTACAATTGAGTACAACAAAAATTATTTTGGTTTTATCGAATATTTGTGTGAAGAAAGAAAGCCTAAGTTGCATGTATAAGGAACGGTTTGCCCATTTGAGCTGGACGCTGATGAGTTTTTTTTTTTGCGATATAGGCTTGATAAAATAGCAACGCACTTTTTAATAAGTTTATTTTTCTTTAAAATGTTTAAATTAACAATTTATATTTTGTTTATTTCTTGGTTTTTTATTGCATTAGCTGTGCAGAGATGCCACTTATACAGTATTTATACCAGTTTGTATGCAAAATTTCAAACATTTTACTAAGCACCCACTTAAAGCTGGCTCAATTTAAAACTATTATTAATTCCACTATAGTTAAGAAACAGTTAGTAACAGGTTTAAATGTTAAAGTTGTTTTTAAAATGAACCGACTTTAGTGTTTGACTATGATTATAGTATTTGCAAACTCGATAATTGCATTTTAAGCATTTATTTCGAGATTTTCTAGAATTTCCGCAGTGGCAACACAATTTTGAACAATCTTAAGCATATTTAAATAATATTGACTTTATTTCTTTCCTAAACTCATTCGGATTTAGGAGGTTCGTCATATTTTCATCTCTTAAGAAGGATATTACATATAAATTACAAAGACCATCGCAACTAATACTATCATCTTGTTTAGTCTGCTTCAAAATTTGAACGAATTTCTATTTGCTTTCGTCGCCATTTTTACGGCAATTTGCGATGAATGTGTCATAATGATATCTGCCGGTATGGTCGTGCAGTAAGTCGATGAAGAAA